TCAATAAATAATTTACCCATCAACAATTGAATTTGTGTTTCAATCATACATGTGACAACATTCTCCCCCCAAAAAAATCAATTAATACTTAGCTATAATTAGAACCCTAGTACATTCTCGACAATCAAGATTGAGTATTAGGAGAAAAAATATTCGACCTCAAGCTTTACTGCACAACTGAGTCTGAATTTGCCAAAAACATCGAAAGAACGAACTAAAACTTTACCGAAATCAGTAAAAGAGAGAAAAATGAGTGTTAAAAAAAGAAAAGAAAAGAAAAAAGAAATCAATTCAATTCAATCTGATAAGAGTTTCTTGAAGTAGCTGGTTCCAAACATCAGGAATCCCAGGAAGGCACCAGTGTGTGCAATCCATGCCGATCTTCCTAGGGTTGCCATAAATTGAGGGGTGCCCATCAACCCTAAACTGTGACAACGCTGTAATTTTGAGCAAGTGAACTGGCTTCCTCATGGTCCCAAGCACGTTCTCCAACACGCTTTCGGGTAGGTTACGGCCCCCGCTATACATCTCCGGCCTAAAGGGCTGCCGTTCACCGCTGCACCGCTGAAGTTCCGGCTTGCCCCATTGAGTAGAACTGTTAAGATAAGTTTTATAAGGACACATTTCCATAGACAACAGTATACTAAAAACGTCTTACTAAAGTTTAGATTAACTTACTTCCAATGATCAGGCGAGACGCCTTGGAAAAAGATTTTAACTCTCTTTGTGTTGACACTCCGGTCTATCCATCGTGTCATTGTCCTCAAGGCTTTCTCATAAGCTACCATTCTATCCATATCTTTGACCCTAACTTTTCCATATTGAACCAAATCCCATCTGTGGCAAATAAATAAATCAAACACCTAAACTGAAAACAGCCAGTAGAAAAAATTATTGATAAAATTGGAAAAAGGCGAAGAAAACTCAGATCCTTACGGTTGTTTTCTTCCGGTATGAAGCCACCAGTGCCATGTATCAAAGATCAAAATGTCACTACTCAACCACTGTTTTACACTGCCACCAATCTTGTTGAGTTTGAGCACTCGTTTTGATTTTTCCTTCGTAATGTCGACTAGGAATGCATTCCGCGAGTACATCAGCATGTAATTGAATTGCTGAAAGAGTTGTTCATTGTATTAACACAGGCTACACAAAGACAAATTCGAGTTCAATCTTTTTACATGTATTGAATGGCGTAGGATATATTCAATACTAATAGCGCGGGAAGACTTAACAGGTATCGAATCCCATTCTCAGCTAAACCAAATCTTGAGCGTAGCCTAATCAAAGAAGTTGAGCTCGTGCTCAAGCCCATCTTTTCCTAAAATTCAAACGTGGGATAGAGAAGATCGAGGACCCTCATCACGATTTCATGAAGTCATAAATGAAAATTTCTTTTCTTTAATCTCGTACAATTCATTAGATGAATATCATGAATTGGTCTATAATTTATTAGTCGGCATTATCTAGATTTTTTGCGAAAGACTCCGTCAAATGACTATTATAATTAACATGCTCTTCTTGTTTTAAAAAATTAGTGCAACACTTGGGCCTTGTTTGATAGCCTCTATGATAATTGCAGCAAAGGTCCCAAACCTTTCAAATTTTTGCGTACTTTACCCTAACCTTTGATTTGTGCCAGCAGAGATCTCAAACCTTTCAAAAATATGTGCCGGAGGTCCATTTGGATGGAAACCGTCCAGTTGACCGTTAGTTTGACCAGAATAGTGGAGTTTGACTAATGGTGACCAAATTGGGAGGGGTAAAATAGTACATTTACAATTAAAACATTAAATAATAAAAAAAGTAAAAATTAAATAAATAAAAAAACTAAAAACCCACACAATACACTCTCTCTCTCCTCAGCCAACAACGGTGTCGGCACCACTGCCACCATCAGCCAACAACGGTGTGGCACCTCATCATGGACACCTCATCAAGAACTGACCTGTAAAGCCAACACTTCCAACACAAGCTCATCAAGAACTGACCTGTAAAACCAACACTTCCAACACAAGCTCACTCACGATTTCAAACCTCACTCACTGCACGCCCAAGAAGACGATGTCGGCGCGGTACTCAGCGATTTTGAGGAACATGGGCATGGCAAAATCGACGTGGGTTCTCGGAAATGGATGGTGATGGCGACCGAGGAAGGTGGGAAGGTGGGTATAGACGGTGCTTTCTTGTCGAATCTTCAATCGATTTTGAGCTCTGTAAATATCAATAGCTCTGTAAATCGAAATTTTTTTTTGCAAAATTGAATTCAAACAGAACATAAATGGATCCAAGGTGTAAAAATTGTTTTATAATGAAGAAAATTAAACTTTTTCTGGCTATTATATCCTTCTCTAGGCTGCATAACTCGTGTATTGCTTATAAAATTCCCCCTTATAAATGACATTGCCCAGTCAACTATCATAATTCTTGTTTCTACTCTTTTGCTGAAAATATTTGGAAATTATAGCTAGATGTAAAGAAACTGAGGCAAATGGCAGATGGTTTCAAATGCTGGTGTTTCTATTTACAACATTAGCGCTTGCTCAATATTTTAACCAAAGGTCATCAGGTGCTATCTAATTTCACTTGTTTCTGTAAGCTTTCTTTCCTGGTTTTGATAATGATGGTAGTGGATGGCCAGATTTTTCTCTGTTGAGGATTTTGGTTGGATTTTGAGGGAGAAATCTCCCTTAATTACTGCAAAATTAGGAGGGATAGGGGGGTTTTCTATTGATTTTGCGAATTTAGGGAAATGTGGTGGTGGTGGTTGGGTATATTGCATACGGACTGCGGTGAGATGGTGGTGTCGGTGCCGGCTCTGTTGTTTGCTGACGGTGG